CTCAATTGGCCTGCTAGCAGGTTAATAATAGACAGCGCTGATTTGCTACAAACTCACATAGTCTCACACATAAGGAGAATCATCTAGGTTTCAGAAAAGAAAGTTCTGTCTATTCTAACATTAATTTGAACTGATTGGTGATGATACAACTTAAAATTTTTAAATTTAAGCCTGAAATTCACAGTGACTTTTTCTAATAGCATATACATAGTATAAAAAAATTTGAGGATGAGCGTTTAAGATATAGTGAAATTCAATTAATTTTAGCTGAGTTTGAGAATCCTCACCACCTCCCACATAAAGTGATAAAATATGAAGACAGGCATTTAATATCACAGACATGATTATTATTATTGAGCAAAAAACCATCACCACCAGTTTTCCTCAAATGTTCCTCAGTACTTCTGAATTTACAAGAAAGTAGACTGGTTTAGTTTTCCTCTCAAAGGTGAAAATTTTCTTGATTTTCTTTATTGAGTAAAAGAAAAAGTTAAAGACTGAAAATTACAGCCCACCTATGTTTAATCATTAATAAAGATCTCTTTGGTGAACTTAGTCCTGATTTTGGAGTTTGGAATCTGACCTTTCCTCAAAGATAAACATTACTGTAGCAGGTTCTAAGAAGGGTTATTCCCTCACTGCCATAAGAAGAGTCCACTTCTCAGTGACTCCTTGCTAGGAACTGGATGCGTTAGAGGGTGGTTAGTCAATATGATTCTTCTTGCTGTGCTTTTTCTCTGCTTTATTTCCTCATATTCAGCTTCTGTTAAAGGTAAGTTTGTATTGCCTTTTGCTAAACTTTAATTTTAATTGTTGTGGGAAAATTGCGTGTGTCTCTAGTGAAAAAGTTTCCAACTAAACCATCGTCAAAACCGTGTATATGAAGTGTTTGTGAAGGCATGACTGGGTTAGAATGAAAACCAAATTTAAATTCCTCCATACATTAAAAAAAAATGGACGTTCCTTTTAGTTACAGTCCCTCAGACTAGTGTGCTTCCTGCTTCATTTTCTCATTCATGGTCTATTTTTAAAAGGGAGAAAAAAGATGCCGGTTATTGTTACCTGCTGCTATTGGTCACTCACTGAATGCAACTCCTTCATTTGAATTGTAAAACAGGATAAAAAAAACAGCTCTTAAATTTCCTTCTAGTTGCTTAGCAATGTGACATCAAGAAGATTTAGACCCAATGAAAAAAGCATTTGATTTGCTAAAGAATTATGAATGAAATGGTAAAACATGTATTTAATTCCATTACTATTTAAAAGTGATGGAATCATCATAGTTGGTGAATGACAGAAAATAAAACTATAGGTTTAAGAAAGAAGATTTATTATCTTTGGAAAAATAGTGTTGCTAGCTAAATGTTTCACCAGTAAAATTATCGCTTTTTAGAGTTTCTTAAAAGAGTGCACTATGAAAGCCAATCGATCAAACAGATAACTTAGCATGATAAGGTCCAATTTTAGTAATGGTGTACTCTAAGTAATCGATATAAAACAATTCATTTGTAAACTTCTAAAAGTCTTTTTGAATAACTGTGACCTTTGATCATAAAGTGAAGTTTTTCTCAAGATTTTTTGCATGGAAAATTTTCACATGAGGGAAAAAGACAATCTTGGTTATTGGAACAATAAATGGAGGTTTAAAATTGTATTATTTCACCTAAGTAAATGGCACTTTAGGTTCTCAAACTAAAGACAGTATTTTTTTTTTTTAACCAGTTTCTAAATTGTTTAGTATTTAAAGATATAGTCCCTACTTGGATGAAAAAACATTTTAATGAGAACAAAGTAAAGGTTTATAAATTATAGCTGACTGAGAATTATTATATAGAAAGCTTACCGTTTTGTTATCTGTCAAATAAACTGTTGTATATTTGAAATATGAGTGATTTGTACACCATAATATCAAACCAATACTGTGATTATTTTGAGAAAAATATTTGAAATGTAGTAGTTAATGTAGGTTTCTCTTTTTTCCCACCCTACAAATGAGAAAATTGGATAACTTGATATTTTCAACTACATGCACTTAGAAAGATTTAAAGATACACACTTGCACTTGCACTCACACCAATGACATACAGGTTTAGAAGATGACAGATAGCTACAGTATGTTGTGTACAAGCTCAGTGGTAAATCCAGATGTTTACAACCCGAAGCTTATGCAATTTAGGGGCCATCTTTGAGAAAAGATTACAAAATATCTTACTTTTGTGAATATCATTGAAAAAAAGATATGGCATATGCCCACATTGCTAGGGCCCCTTCTAAACCTTGAAATGAGCCTGGGCAAGTGAGGGCCCCAAAGCTTAAGTGTCATTAGCTTCACAGTACAAGCTGTTTATACCAAATGTCATAAATAAAAAGTATAGGACTTGACAACTCTCTCTCTACTTAGATGCGATAACCTTTTGTATTATAATACCATGATGTAATTATAGATTCCTTGCCCTCTGTAATAATCGACATTTAACAAACAAACTACTTGTAAAAAGTTTACTTCAAAATCAGGCCATTATAAATTTGGGGATCCCGTGTATCACCTCAAAACTCATCTAAAATTTAATTGTCAATGCAATTTCTTAGAAAATTTTTGTTTTGGATGGATTTTGAGTGCAGGTTGGACTATGAAAAGAATGGAGGAGATTAGGAATAGTACAGAAGAGGTTCTATTTAGAAGAGATATGAGTGCGAACATTCTAAAGACTCAAGTATTCCCTGCTTTTTCTGAATTGTATTTTATGATGATGGATCTATTCTCATGGCCTTTTTAGGGTTTTCTTTATAGTAATTTTATTTTTGATAATCCACACTTAAAATTTCCATTTAATTTGTCACCTCTAAACTTGAACTGTTTCTTCACTTCCACTCTTTCTCTCAGTCCCTGGCCCTGCCCATATTTTTCAGTTCATTCATATTAATCATCTTTTTTTTTTTTACATCCCTTATCCTTTATCCTACTCTTTTACTTCCAGCCTTATTGTTTTTTGTTGGAATCCTAAATTTAATTACGTATTATTCTTATCATTGTTACATGTTTTTTCAAACTTCACTTTTAATTTATCTTTGTCTTCTTGCTTAAGCCAATTAACTGTGCTATTGTACTCATCTAAGTTTGATAAATTAGTATTTTAAGATGTTTCTTAAATGGTTGGAAACTAAGAGTTTGTTGCTTTTCAGTCACTTAAAAATTCTGGATGCACTTGAAAGGGCACATTGAAGAGGTACTTACTCCTTTTTCGGTTAAAATTGATCTCTCTTCTGCTTTTCTCTAATATCTACTTCAAAAAATATCATTCTGCCTACTCTAAAGAGTAACACCCTGAGAAAGAAAGTCAACAATGTCAATAGAACATGCCCCCATTGTCCATTGTTGCCAGATCTCTCAACACATAAACAAAGAAATATTTATCAAACAGGAAAGGATAGCAGGAAAAACACTACAGCATAATCCACTTATTTGAACCACTTTAGGCTTTATCTCCTGTTGAAAGTAGTAACAAAAAGTTTTAGGAGAACAAGGCTCATTCTTTCTTGTACTCTATCACTTGCAAGTCAATTAAAAACTGATCTACTCTTTTCACATTCTTATGACTACTAGTAAAGTGAAAGTAAGAAAAAAATGATCAACATGATAGTTTGGAAAGCTTTGAAATTTGAGAGTGTACCTTCCTACAAACTTTTCATAGTTATTTTAATCAGAAGACACACTTGTGTAGTCCACAAAATTTGGACCTCAATAAATTTAAATGTCAGATTCTGCATTATATCTGCTATGTTGAGTTGAACACAAAGTCAGCTTTTATCAGCTGTCACATAATGCTTACCTTTTAGAATTACTATGAGGATTAGTTAAGAGAAGATGTATTTCCTTTATGCCTTGCGTGGAATTTGATAGGTGTCATTAAAAAAAGGCCTCTCTAGCCAAAATATCTTTCCTGGCTAGAAGGCCAATTTTTGAACCTGTAGCAGTGTCCCCAGTTAAAATGTGGAAGAGATAGAGGTAGAGAAAGCTAGAGGGAGTCACAGACTTCATCTCCTTCAAGGTTTTTCCTGACTTTTTCTGCCTTCTATATCTCATATCTGAAGTTCTACCTGACTTTGTGCTCAGACATAGTCTGTTTTTTTCTGTGTCTATGCACTTGGATACCTACTCCCACACTTTGTCAGATTATGTAATTTCACTACACATCTCACTCAGAATCAAATTCTAAGTCTATACAAAGGTCCCGCCAAGTCTTCATGCCATTCATAAGAACCTATTTGACCTTATCTCCTTCTGCTGTGTCTTTCACTTAATTTCAGCCTCTTTGGCCTCCCTGCTGTTCCTCCATTACACCTTCATGAACTCTCCTCAGGGCCTTTGAATCTGTTATTTCCTCTGTGGAGAGGATGTAGGGATAGTAGTGTGGGGATGAGAGGAAGGGAATGCTCTTCCCACAGATATAAATGTGGCTAGCCTAAAGCCTTTGTCCAGAATATTACCTTTTCACAAAGGTCTTTATCCCCAATCCCTTTTCTGTTTCATTTTTCTTCATATATTTATATAATTTATAAGTATATATAAGCTTATTGCCCATCTCCTCCTCATTCAAATATAAACTCCACAAAGGTAGACATTTTGTCTGCTCATTAACTGGTATAGCCCCTGAGCCTAGAAAGGTGCCAACCACCTAGTGGGTGCTCAATACATCTCTATTGAATGAATGGATGAGTGAATGAATGAATGAATGAATGAATGTATTCCCTGCTCACATCTTAGGAATGGAAACATGTTCAACCTAAAGATTTAGATGTGTATAGTATAGGTTAGAGCATGATCTCTAGAGCTTGACAGCCTGGGTTCACATTCTGATTCCACTACTATCTGAATGATCTTAGATAAAATGTATAATTTCCGTGTCTCTCGATTTCCTTATCTATGAAATGAGATTAATAATGGTACCCATCCCTTTAGGTTTTGGGGAGGATTAAATAAGGAAATGCACATAAAGCATTTAGTTTACTAGAGACACTGTGTTATGACCATTTTTCCTCAGGGCAGTAGGTGCCATAGTAGGTAATGGAGACAATAGATGGTAAAGATTTTTCAAAGTTTTTCTTAATTTTTTGTCTTTGCAAAGTAGTTTTACTCCCTTTCTCAGCTTCGTCACTTCTAGCTCAGTCATCTCAACCTCTTTTCCTGACCTTCTGCTCATATGCATATTTCCTGAAGGGGGAAAAATGTTATAGTTCTCTGTTATAATTAACTAGGCAATGCAATCTCATTAGCACTAAGGAAAAATGTATACTGAAAATTTTTTTTTACTACCTCCTGAGGGCTATAGGTAGAAAATATATTTTAAAAAGTTTGTATGACCATGAACTTCAAGTCATCTCTAGGAAATTCTTTGAATTAAGTCAAATCGAATTGAAAAGTGTGTGAACTATTCCATATATAATTTTTTTGGCTCGCAATACTGACTTTTATACTATTGACATTAAATTGCCCTGCCATATTAAAGCCTTTGTTAAAATTTTATGTAATGAAACATTTTATTTAGAAACAGCTGATTTAAATTTACATATGTATAGCCTTGAAATGTACTTTTGTACTAAAACTTTACTAATTAAATTAACAGAGTAAGTTACATTGGAGGGATATTTTTGAAATATTCAAAATATATGATTTAAGGAACTGCCTTTTAATCTCTAAAATTACTTTGGAATGATCCATTGCATTTAAATGATATGTTAATTACAAATGATTTTTATTAATTTTACAAAGCAATTCTAGGCTGAACCTCTTCTCAAAATCATATTCATTATACCATAATAAAGCTGGGGTAGGGGGAAGAAATAATATACTTAAAGGCAATAAAATGTTTCTTTAAAGAATATTTTGTAGTTCAACCAGAACACTATTTAGATAATCTGATTATTGATTAGGGATACAAACTAATGTTTCCAGAATAGAAGCTTATTTGTTTGTTTTTGTTGTTGCTCAAGCCAATTATTTTAGCACTTGGAGAAGTAGAAGCATATTTTATTTAGCAAATATTTATTCAGCTCCCACTGGGCATCATTGAGCTGGATGAGGAATGCATTGATGGCAAGATAACATAGTCCCTGGCCTTTTGTATGCCTTACAACTAAGACTTCACTTGTGTCATATTTTTATGTAGGTCACACAACTGGTCTCTCATTAAATAATGACCGACTGTACAAACTCACATACTCCACTGAAGTTTTTCTTAATCGGGGCAAAGAAAAACTTCAAGACAGTGTGGGTTACCGAATTTCATCCAATGTGGAAGTCGTCCTACTGTGGAGAAATCCTGATGGTGATGATGACCAACTGATCCAAATCACGGTGGGCGTTTTCTAACCAGAAATGCAAACATTAGATGTCAGCAAAGTCTCTGAGAAGTATACCATTCAACAGCACTCGTTTTGTATTCTTGGTTATATGTTCATTTAGTTTGTTATCTATCACAAAAATAAGTAGATCTATAGTCTTGAAGTTTTTGCTAAAGTGATCTGATCTTTCCAAATTGTTGAAACAGGCAAAAGAAGGCATATCCTGGTGAGTAACTGGAATATGATGTCCAGTTCTATATGTCATATTAATAGGCACATTTGCTAGAATCTCTTTGAAATGTTCTGGGTGTGAGGAGCCTAGAATCCATGTCATGTGAAAAATGATTAAGGCCACTCTAGCTGAAAGAAGATATAAATTGAGACCTCCCAATTTTCTTGAGTTCCTTAAAATAAAAGGTGAAATCGCCAGTGAAGGAGTAAACTTTTTCTGTATTCTTCCTCAGGAAAGAACCAGGTGTTCCTCTACATGGCAATATTTGGTCAGTAATGATGCTTTAGATTTATGGATTGAGAAAGAAAGTCAAATTGGATGGTTTTTGTGGCCTCTTCCAGGTTTACTTTATAGTGTTTCATGTTTGTTTTTGAAGGATCTAAAAGCAATAGATTTCTTTAGTAAAGTTGTTTGTTCTTCTACATGTTAGTGTGAAACAGGTATACAGGACCAAAATTTGCTCCACTGTAACTGAGAAGTAGTTGCGGTTATACTTTATAATGAGGTGTCATTGAAATACATTTATCAAGTGATCCTTGCTTTTTTGGATGTCTCTAACAGGTGTTGTGTTTTCCAAGTTGAATCAAAATTTTATTTTCCACCTCTCTGAGCCATTTATCAATAGAACAGTATTCTGCAAAAAACATTATGTATCTGCAAAAAACATTATGAATTCTGCAGTATTCTGCAAAAAACATTATGAATCAGACTGTTCATCTTTAATTTTATATATACAGATAAAGTACAATGAGGCAGGATTTCTTTCAAACAAATTGTATGGAAAGTGAATATTATCAGGCAGATAGCAACAGCTATTTTCTACTCACAATTATTATAAACCTGAAGTCACAGATTCCTTTATCAGTATTTCAGCCTAATTCAGAAACCTAATTGTTGAATACCTTTTCCATTCTTTTAAAGTTAATGGCTAGATCCCATGAATTATGAATTGAAAAAACAGCAGACGAAATTATGGCTAACACTGTTTATTGCTTTACCATTTTTTTTTCTAAGAAACTCTGATGGAAACAGATATAGACAGTTTTTCTAATAGGTTTCTTTCCTCAATTCCAGATAAAGGATGTAAATGTTGAAAATGTGAATCCGAAGAGAGGAGAGAAGAGCATTTTCAAAGGAAAAAATCCATCCAAAATTATAAGAAAAAAAAATTTACAGGCTTTACAAAGACCTGTACTCCTTCATCTAATCCATGGAAAGGTAAAAGTAACTTTTTTCTCCAACTTCATATTTTTCTTTTCTTCAGGAGCTCTTATTTTTAGGTGATCATGGTATCACTACTTTTTTGGTAAATGGAATTTTTTCAAGAACTAATAAACAGAGGTCGCAAATTAAATGTTTCAGAAGTGAATCAAGGCATTGAATTCACATATTTTCTAACTATTTATGTTCCTTATTTTAATGAAAATCTTTATAGTACTTGTTTATTGTTGAGAGGAATTATTAAAAGGTTTATTTTTTATTAAATTAGGAAGGGTTACAAAGATATTGTAATGTAAACGTTCATCACAGATGATTGGATAAATTCAGGAAAGTAGACGAATTATGAGAATGAAATTATCTAACGTAGATAAGTGATATTAACTTGTTATGAGAATATCAATATCTGGCTAAAGTACAAAGTTGAAGCTTTTGAAAGGATATGGCATTTTTAAAGTAGAGTTGATTTTTTAAAAAAGCATTTAGATATTATTTTAAAACTATGACTTTGAAAATCATTTTATATATTAAAGTAATGAATAAACACAGTAATATCCATTTGCGAATTTGCTCAGAAATTCCTATAAGTGCATTTCTTATGGTTGGATTCTAGTCTATTAAAATAGTCTTAATGTGTTTGGAATTGAGAAGCAATTGTGATCAGTGAATTATTTGGCATTATATATGTGGATTTATTAAAATCCACATATTGATATGAATAAAAATGCATTAGTAAAGGTGAATTTTAGGAACTAAAATAGAAATTTTAGAAACTAAAGTAGAAAAACAGAAAGGGACCCTTATAGTTAAAATTCCACGTCTCAAATTTCTCTAGATTCAAAATAAAAGTGAAAACAAATAGTTTAAAATATAAATTTCAGACATGTAACATATTTCTCATCATGATGCATATTTTTATGTAAAGTACTAAAAGAAGGATTATTGCGTAGTCACCTCTCCTACAACCAAATATGAAATTACCATCTCAAGAATGCTCCTCTTCCTTCTCCACTTGTCAAAATACTTACCATACTTCAGGTGTTGCTCACAGGCCTTTTCTTCTATGAAGTTCACACATTTCTAGAAATAGCTAGCCCTCTTTATAACCCTCTTAGCATTTTGTAGCTCACTCATAGCCTTATCATTTTCCTTTTGGTCATTTGTGTTCGTTGTTAGGTTATTGGTTTCAGTAGAGAAAATTCCCATTCCTTTTTATAGTCCAGCCCTCCACTCACCATCATGCCCTTCCACTCTCTTTGTCCCCAAAGCACCCAGAACTATATCTTGCACCGACTGATTTGGTGTTGGAAGCCTTTTCCAACATTCTCTCATATTCCTGTGGACTTATTTCTATCTAAACATTTATCACAGTGTATTATAATCTTCTCTTTATTTGTCTGCCATCCACATTCAGAGTAAGCTTCTAATGAGCATCAGTGGTGTCTTTATCTCTATACATTCAGTGCCTTGCTCACTGTGTGAGCACAATAAATGTTTATAAACTAAAGGAATGAACAAATAAGGTTATATGTTAAAATGAGTTAGACTTTGAGAAAGGCTTTGCTTATTGTTTGCTTAATAATAACTAAATGGACTGAGTACTCAATGCCTGCATTGACTGAAAGCATTACATGAATTATCTCTTTTATCTTCAGGATAGGCCTAGGAAGCAGGTGTCGCTTAATCATCCTCTTGTGATAGATGTTGAAACAAAAGTTAAGAGAAGTAAAGAAATTGCCTAGGGTCTTACAACTGGCAAGTGGTAGAATTGGGATTTAAAACAGAGTCTAAATTCAGGGTCTTTGCTGGAAACCATTGTTATACTGTCTTCTATCTGGAAAGCATTTGGAAAAATATCACTTCAGTTGACTTTCAGCATGCCTATTTCATTCTTCACCATATCCATGAACTCATTTGATTTTCATATGTCACAACTTTGTGAACAACACGACATATTGCTATTTTCTCTGGTTTTCCAACGTGGCAAAATACTTGAGCCCATAAAATATTAATTGCATTTGTAGTTTTAATGACAACCAGTCATTTTACAGCCTCTTAGATATCAGTTGAGTACAAAGTCTGTTACACACGGACAACAAAAGATTCAGTGTCCTCACTGTTCAAAGGCTGGGATGGAGCTGCCACATCATTATTTCAGTGACTCCAACAATTCTAAAGGAGCTATGACTTGTGATGGTTTACTGTAGCCTCAGGTTAAAGTACATTGTGCTACCTTTCAATTACACGATAGAGTTCTTGGAAAAACATGACCCTGAAGACTAAAAAACTATGTGGACTTTTCAGCCACATCACCCTTAGAAAAGATCATTATTGAAACCCTCACTTCAGCTTATTATGAGAGAAATTATGAAAGGAAAGATTGAACTTCTGATTGACAATTTTCTTAAAGAGTATTTTCTACTCTAGGCTCAAACCGAGTTTTATTCCCTGAAATTTCTGTGATTTCAGGTATGCTCATCAGCATGTATTTTTTCTTTCCTAAGCCCCTTGTTTTAAGCCCCCATATTTACATTATAAAAGAGAGTCCATTAAAATACTTAGATACATCTTTTTTCCATGTTCGCTCATCTCCCCTAGATAAGTGTTTGGGCATGACTCTAATTTTGTCTACAAATCATAAATGAAGTTGGAAACATAACAGATTTCTGGTTAAGTTGATTAACACTGACAAGCAAAAGATGCTTCAAGTTACACCCTGGGATGCTTTCTTGGCCTGAAATGCTAATCCAGTTAACTGGATAATTACTAGATTTCCATTTTTGGCTTTCATTGTCGGTATTGATAAAATTAACCACGTGGCTGCTGAGTTGGCCCTTTGTTTTGTGTTGTTTCTAGGCATTGATTTGCTCTGTCAGTCTGGCAGTATGGTTTCTGTACATACACTGAACCTTCAAAAGAAATGTGACACCTTAAAAATCTAATTCTTCATATATTTCTTTACTTGTCTGTTTTTTAATGCACTGTTTCCCAGCTATGCTCTGACTTAAATACATACCAAAAACATATTGAAAAGGTATAACTCTAGCTAAGTAAATGAAATAAAATGACTAATCTCCGTTTGCTGGAATCCGTTTTGTTCATTTTTGCAGTTTGGCCAGTTAATGGAATTTTGCTTTCTGTTAATCTTAAAGAATGTATAAATTAAGGGAATCTATAGCAGCATTTTTTCCCTAAGGAAAAAATATGAATAATCCCTACTGGTTCCAAGGGGAAACTGACCTTCCAAATTTGGCCAGAAGAGGCCCTTCGTCTCCTTTCCACAATCTACCCATCTCTCTCTGTTTGTTTCCTCAGGTTAAAGGCTTAGTTTGTAACTAGGTTGTGCCACTGCTGCTCTCCAGAAGCTCTAGGGACTGTGAATTTAGTTAAGAGTCCTGTGCTCTCAGATGTTCAGAGCTCATTTTGAACTGAAAGAAGAAATCAGTTTTATGGCTTGAATGTAATAAAACTTACTCAGTTCTTGTTGTGAAATAATAAATTTAAGATTACTATTGTGACAGCCATATAGATGGAACCACAAAGTTCTGACTTAATTATTATTTTTTTAATTACCGAAAGTCTGCTCAATTCTAACAGCTTTGGCAGTTAGCTAATCTGGATACCAGTGCTGTATTCACTTTCGATCTCAGTGGTCTGCACTAAGGGGACAGAATTTAGGCCCCAAAGGCAGCAGTCATACAAAGGAAAAAGAGACTTGTCCAGTTTTCTGGTTCTGGGGAAATAATAAAAACTAATAGAAAGAATGAAAAAGAAATTCTCTGTATGTCTCACAGTTTACGTTGTTTAGCCTGCCAGGAAAAAAAAAAAATCCCCAACCCCATTTTCTTACAGACCTAACTGTAAAGACCAAAACTTGATCTATGGAAGTGGACCAGAAAAAAATAGATGAGCACTTAGCCTTATGCATAGTCCAAAGATTAAATCTGAGAACTGGGTACTTGAAATTTTAGGTAAAACTTTATAAATAGTTCAGGCACATTTTGTAGCCTAGAAGGAAAGTGAGAATACCGAAGATAGTACAAGTAGTTTTCTCATTTAATGGTTCCCCTTGCTTTTTTAAGTATTTAAGACTCAGGCCAAAATAGTCACGGACCAGAGGCATGTAAGCATCACCACCAAGTGAGGCCTTCTGAATGTATCTGGGCTCAAGTCATCTAGTTATGAATTTCAGATAGTCATGATATCTTGAGATAGCATACTCCCAAATATTCGAAAAGGAAGTACACTGTAATGCCTAAAAAGTAAGAAGACCCAGTTTACAAAATAGAACATCAGAAACTCAGCCTCGGATCTGAGAAATTGCCAGTGATTTGTTTGAGAATATGATACCACGAATTTTCAGACGCTGAGGTCACTATTTCAGTTCCCTCTTAACCTGGACAAACACAATTCCAACATTTATAGGTTTGTCCAATGTAATGACTGAAATTGATTGCAGGCCGGATAAAGTACCTAGTAAATCTGTCACTAGGCAGAGTATGTGTAGGAAATAAAAATAGGGATTTGAGGCACTCGTTTGGATAATTCAGGAAAAACATCTTTTTCTGAGGTACAAAATTTCATGTAGGCTGAATCATTCAGATTGATATTAATTGAATTCATTGCACAATTAATAAAATTTCTGTTTTACTTGAGAAGTCATGGTTGGCTTTAAAGAAAAATAGAAAGGCATTCAGGATATTTCTGGTAGAAGTGCTCAGCTATAATTACCATAGATCTTGGGAAGTTGTACAGGGAAGCTCTGTCTGTCCGTCCCCTATTTCTAAGTCATGTGTTGTGTTTGAAGTTAATACAGGGTGAAAACGATAGACTGCTTTTCAGAAAATGCTCCCTGTATTTTTGTCCTTGTTTCTTAAATATGAGCTAAATTATCAGAATGGTATGAGACATTGTTATCACTACCGTACCTATAATATCAAGGATGAAATGAAACTAACATAAGCCATTTACTATTGCAGTCTAATTGCAGTCACTTTCCTCATTCCAGCCTCTTTTTCCTGCCTTCTAAAGGGAAGCTCAGAGTAGTGCCTGGAGCAGGCTATGCAATGGTAGCAGTCTCAACCTAAAACCTTCCAATCTTCTACATCTTTGTCTACTGAACACCAGCATGAACGCTCTGAGGGCCATAGAAAGTCCCTCCTGTGGAATTTTGTCCGTAGGAGTTACAGCCATGTTTGGGCCCTTATCATAGCCCTTGGTGGCTGTGCTATCTCAGTAGTCTCAAGAATGTTGATTGCCTTTCTCTTCCAAAAACTTATTTCTTTGCTGTTATTTTTAAATTTGGTTAGTTTTTATTTCAAGCAGTTATAGGTAGAGAAACATGTTGACATATTCAAAGAGAATGTTCCTGAATTTTCTTCTCTTCCTTGAGTAATCCTTGCTTTCACAGAAATCCCAGCCTGTTTCTTTTCTTCCTTATATTATGCCCATCATGTTCAGAGCCTTCATTATCAGTCTCCTGAAATATCATATTCTGATGGTCTAGTTTCTTAGAAATTTAGATAGCTTCTTATCACAACAAAAGGTATCCCAGCTTTGAAATAATAGATTTCTTTCTCCCAAAATTCATAGGGGCAATAATCTGATCTTTCCTGCCACTTATTCAACCAAATATGATGTGATCTATTTTTGCTCCATTTATGTCTGTTCTTTTTTCCCCCTAGGTCAAAAACTTCTACTCATATGAAAATGAGCCAGCGGCCATAGAAAATCTTAAGAGAGGCCTCGCCAGCCTATTTCAGATGCAGTTAAGCTCTGGAACCACCAATGAGGTACTTAGTAATATTATTAAAAATCCAAAGTCTTATTTGTCAATAGAGTTGTCAAAATTATTTGTATAGATTTCTATTTGTAGAAATTCAGTTAAAAAGTTACTACTACAGTAATGCTCAGAAAAGGTGGGTGGAGTAGTAAAATCTCATTTACATATGAAAATACTATTTATACCAATGCGTACTCAAATACTGGGTAAAGAGAATTTGACTTAGCTTTACTAAGGAGACCTATTGATAGAGATGCAGAAAATCTTGGGGAGTGTTCCAGTGGCTTCACTGTGTATCACTAGCCCAATGGAGTGCTTATTAAAAATATAGATTCTCAGGATTCACTGCAAAGATTCTGATTCAATATACTAGGGAGGACCTAATCATCTCTATTTTAACAGTTCTCTCAGATAATTTGAATGAGTTTTCAGTTTAGGGACCCACTGGTCTACACCAACCCCTTTTCTTTTTACAGACAAAGAAACTGGGATTAAATTAGGGAAGTTCAGTGGCTCCCTCAGTACTACACCTGGAATCAAAGGCAGAGCTGAGTCTAAGTTTCTTAGTCTGAATTTAGATAGCCCAGGAGTGAGTGAGAAAATCTGATACAAGGGCTGGGCCAAGGGAATGTTAGTTAGCTTGCTAGAGTGGAGGCTGGGTGTGGTGCTGGCAGAGGCCCATAGAAAGGCTGAGGTAGCTAAACAGAGTCCATATTGGGGTACACTTGCTTACACTCAATTTGTTGATGTGACGTAATGAGTTGAATTAATCCAACAGCTTTTTAAAGATTTATAATCATACTCAGCTAGTCAAAGTGCATGAGCGTGCACATACACACACACAGCCTAGATATAGCATTAAAAGTCAACTCCTTTTGCCACATAATTACCCATTTACCAGAAGTTTTGATTATGACCAGGCCATTGGTTCGATTATTCTTATTAGACATTAGAGAGAAGTAGGAAATCTTTTATTATTCCTTGGGCAATAAGAAGGCACTGGTAAGACTCAACCAAAGAGGATGGAAAAGAATCCACATGCTGCAGGCATCAATGAGTTAATCCTGTCTTCCTATTTTGTCAGCCTGGACAAAAAGAAGGCCTCCCATGATATATTAAGAGCCTCAATTTTTAAGCCATTTTCCACTGGAATTCTAGTGGTCCATGTGAGAATCCCCAAAATTATATTTTTTACTTTTATTTTTAGGTAGATATCTCCGGGGATTGTAAAGTGACCTACCAGGCTCATCAAGACAAAGTGACCAAAATTAAGGCCTTGGATTCATGCAAAATAGTAAGGTCTGGATTTACAACACCAAATCAGGTATGATTAATATCATTTTCTTTGAAGCATCCAAATAATTATTTTGTAGAGATTAGTTTAAATAATAGAAGAATAAGGTAAAGATATTTTTGAGAAACATTTATCATTTGTAGTTTAGGGTATAGTTTCACATCATATCAAATGATTAGATTTATTTTAATGTGCTATAGGGTTAAATGATGGGGGATGGTGTAAAGGGGAAGCTCCTTTGAAGATTAAAAGATAGTTTGATATTTGACTTAATTTAAAGATAGAAAGCTGATCGCATGTTACAACTACACTTATTTATTTATTTATTTATTTATTTGTTTGTTTGTTTAGGTCTTTGGTGTCACTTTGAAAGCCACCTCTGTCACTACCTATAAAATAGAAGACAGCTTTGTTATAGCTGTGCTCTCAGAAGAGACACATGCTTTTGGGGTGAATTTTCTACGAAACATTGCAGGCAAAATAGTATCAAAGTAAGACAATGCTGAAATTTTAATTTTTTTTATTCCTACATATTATATTTGATTTTTAAATATATATAGTTCTTCCTCATTTGACTGTGAGCTGCTTGAAAACAGTGACTATATCTTGTTCATCTTTTATTTTTCATATTATGTACAATAATAGTGGCATATATTAAATACTTAGTGTTTTTTAATCAAATTTCATTAAAAATTGTTATTGAATAGAATTTAAATTTTAAAAAGACGATCAATTTGATTCATTCTGGTTTATTTTCTAATTTTTCTGTCAAACGTTTTCAATATTATGGTTAAAAGTTGTGGCATTTTCATGTTCTCTTCATGAGACTTTTTTGCTTTTGTTTTTGTTGTTAAGAAACACATACAAATTTTCATAGTAAATGCTTTGACAGATTTTTGATATGATTATAGTGCTTACATATTTGAGCTTGATATTTCAATTTGAAAAAGTTCTCTGATCAGAATAGTTCTCACAGGCTTAATAACTGGAATTTCAAATCTAATAATATGTGTTATTTTCAGATTTTAATTTAGAAGAACATCTTCTAGCATTAAATGTTTTATATCTTATGCCATTGTTTTGCAAACGTTTCCTCTGAAGTAATCATTATGTCGGAGGTGAAATGATGCAAAATCTCGGGAGAAGTGCCTCAAACCGTAAATTCTTGAAATTTTATCGAAGTCTCATCTGGAGTAGAATTTCGTATTGTACTATTTTTTTCATATATTTTATATAAATTAATATTTTTAATTATTTATCAAGTTTATTAGGTTTCCATTGCTCTTTAACAAACCATGCTAAATTTAGTGGTGTAAATAGCATTCCTTTCATAATTCTGGGGCTTGCCTTGGCCCACTAGGCATGCCTTGCTTGATGTCTATTATGCAGTTGCAGATAGTCACTGACCAGAGCTGATTCAAAGGTTCCGCCCTCATTTCTCTGGTGTCTGAGTTGAGAAGACGCCAACTACTGAGGCTCTTCATGTCTCTCTCTTTATCCCCATATGGCCTCTCAACATGGCAGCTTCAGGTAGCCAGATTTCTAACATGGCCATTCAAGTCTCCAAAGGTACACGTGCTTGAAAACACATGTACCCTTTCTTTTATGACTTAGCCTTAGAGGTCACATAGTGTCACTTCTGCCATTCGTTAGTTAGGACAGTCACAGAGTCCTGCCTGGGCTTAAGGAAAGGAATGTAGACTCTACTTGCTGGTGGGAGAGAGGCAAGTCTCTGAAAGAGCATATTAGACAAAAATATCATTGAGGCCATTTTTGGAAAATAAGATTTCCTAATTGTCTTAGTGAGTGACATGTGGTTGTATTAGAGATATCATTTTCAGAAAGCTGGGCTAAATTTAAAAAAAGATGACATTACATACCTTGTTCAGCATCCAGCCAAATTTTCTTTTCTGTATTCTCTCATCATTATATTTTGAAAATCTAGACTCAAATTTTCAATCTTTAAATAAAATTGTTGCTCCAGAAAGATATCATAAATTACCTTGAGGTTTCCGTTACTGCTGGAGATATAGCTTGAAACACATACAAAGACTAACACAACTTGAGTAAATTATTATCTTGTTTGCCAAAGAAATGGCAATTAGTAACTTTTTCACTCAACGGAATGCTGCTAATGTGATATTTCTCTTCCTTGGTTATACAGACAGAAATTAGAGCTGAAGACAACTGAAGCAGGCCCAAGACTGATGTCTGGAAAGCAAGTTGCAGCCATAATTAAAGCAGTTGATTCAAAGTACAAAGCTCTTTCCATCGTGGGGCAGGTCTTCCAGAGCGAGTGTAAAGGATGCCCTTCTGTATGTGTGAACAACTGCGTTGTGTGGCCAAATATGGGAATAATCGTGGCTTAAAATTCTGCTCTCTTTCTCTCTCCAAAGGAAGATTCAGTTAATTCTGTGAAGAAAGTTAACTATTAGCCATCACCGAGTTACGACAGTAGCCTAAAATATACACTCGAGAGGATGCATGACACGATAATGAACAAATAATTACCATCTATTCATCTCAGACCAAAAATGTTGTGACTTAAGGACAGCTTCTTAAAAGTAGTACCTAGAATGCAGGGAGACAATGGCCTAATGAAATGAGCAGGAAATATACTATCAAGAGTATGGGCAGAGGTCTGAATCCTGAAAGTTCTGCCACTTAATAGCAATATGTCCTCGGGTGAAATGTATCATTGAGCTCAGTGTTCTGAGTATTTCAGTGAGGACTCAAAAAGGATACCAAGCTCTCTGCCTAAAGTAGGGAACACTTCCTTACCACATCCCAATCTTTCCTACAATTGTAGCCAGAAATGAGATAGCATGTCCCCTAAAGCAAAGGGTAGATCATCTTATAACATTTTTAATCCAACAAAGAGAAATTTCACTTTTGGCCTGAATCCGTTTTGATGTGTGACCACAGAAATGACTTCGGTGTCCAGCATTTACTAATAATTAACCCCTGTCAGGAGAGCAGACCCTTGGCTTCATGCTCAGTTTGTAACTACCAGGAAGGTGCTCTTCCCTTGGGTATTATTAGTGTTCAGAAAAGTGGAATCATTGAGAATGCAATAATTTGCTTAAAGTACAAGGCACTAATTCCATACTAGTTTCTCAAATATACTAAAACTGAATTAAGGGAAAACCAAAATGAAACATAAAATTATCACTCTCAAATTTTGTTTTTCCTTTTATTATTTATTTTTCTTCTATATATTATTTAATGTTCCAGTTAATTTTCTAATGTCATATGACATGGAAATTATTTAGGAAAGTGACTAACGAAACCAATCATCTTTTCTTATATTGCGAACTATAACAGATATATATAGATATATTAAGTAGAATAGTATTTAGATAAAGGTAATTTTCACATGCACTATTGTTTTGCTACTATAGTTTTAAAAATGGTAAATAGTTTTAATTAATGACACCATTTGGTTTTGAAATAAGTTAAAAAACTTATTTTTCATAGTTTGCCACTTTTCCCCTGGTTGTAAAGAATTTATTAAATCCCGTTATTGACCTCCAACTCTTTGACTATGGGATAATCAGCATGCTACCAGGTTTTAAATTCTACTTAATATATACTATTCTACTTAATATAGATATATATAGATATATTAAGTAGAATAGTATTTAGATAAAGGTAATTTATCTAAATACAGTTCAGACCTTGGCAATAGTAAAACATGGTATTTCATACAAACAATAAAATAGAGAGATAGATTAGGGAGGTCAAATTATTACGAAAGTTGATTTTTAGTGAGGTCCCAGTACATATGAAACCTACCACAATTCTTCAGCAGTTCTAATTTTATTCCCTCCAAAATATCCTGCTGTTAATGAAAATCCTGCATAATTTCACTATGGTAGTCAAAGCTTGGCCTCAGATATAATTTCCTTGGTGTAACCATAAAATAACCTATACGCCTAGAAGCCCAAGGTCTTTTGAGCTAAATACTAATAGACAAAATGGTCCTACTACAGAAGAGTCATACACAAGGTCAGCAGGCTTCTGTTTTTGCCTCTGAGAGGCACAGGAGTGTGATATGGGCAGGTGGTGATCAAGTATATTGAGGTAAGACACCAAAAGTTTCTTTTGCCTGTCAGATACAAGGAAAAAATTATTTCTGGAGAGAGCATTCCTTGTAATTGTGGATGTTCAGCATTATAAATGGGGTATGAGCCTGCAGCTGTTTTGCAGCTCTCGGAGCACTGGCAGTCCATCAGAAAACACCTGCTGCCTGACAACCTCTCCAAGGCTGAGGCCACCAGGAGCTTCCTGGTCTTTATTCACCACCTCAGGACTGCAGAGAAAGAAGAGATCCTCCAAATCTTAAAGGCTGAAAACAAGGAAATTCTGTAAGTGCCTTGAACATTCTGTGAGGTTGTCTATAGGAAAGCATTTTGGTTATTTTTTTCGAGCAAGAAAGACCTTTTTTTTTTTTTTTACCAACTGCTCCTCCTCCAAATCAATTATTTTGTTGTCTCGCATTTTTATTGAACAGTTATACTGCAATGCAGTAATTTAATGATGACTTGGCCAGAAATGCAATAAAAAGTTTTCAGCAGTGTCTCAGAATGAACATTTTTTGAGCATTTATGAGTTTAAATAGGGTCTAGATTGGTGTACAGACAGAGGAGGGCAGGGCTTTATTATAATACAATGATACATGTGATGTCTCACTGTTTTAGAAAATGTATTCCAAGAGCTATTAATTTATACTTGAAAAGATTTCAGAGGTGATTATAAAAACAAAAAAAGTGTATGATTTTTTTTTCAATTGAAAAATGAGCTTCTATTAAAGATCCAGTGATCCTCCCCATCAAAGCCTTGTTTTACATAGAAAAGTGAGAACTGAGATAAATAGCCAAAAGAATCTAGAGAAAAGAAATATGTACACCATTTGGATATTTGATGAAAGAGTGATTTATTTTGCATGCATAATTAATAGAGTTGACTTAATTCTCAAATTTACTTTGTAAATACAAGCGTTTTTGGTCTGTAATACAGAAATTTATCTATAAATACAAATTCAGCTATATGATACTAATTATTCTAATTGATGAGGTAGAACATGACTCAATTAATTTGACATTGAAAACTAGCCATTAACATAATCAAAAATGGAAATTGGCCACACACACACACACACATACACAGAGCAGCTGTAGTTACTGATTTCAAAGTACTCAGTTACCCAAAGAGAAGAGAATTCAGCACTTTTCTTCTGAGAAGTCTGTTTATTCTTGATTGTATATGTTATTTACATGCCTTGAGGACATTAAAAAATTGAAAAAAATTAAAAAATGACTAAAAATAACTATTTAAACATGAAGTTAAAAGATATACAAAATCATAAATTTTCAGACTCTATTTTAATTATAGAACTTTAAAACATATCCATTGGTAGGGTGACTTGTCTTTATATCAAAGATGAAAATACTAACAAGAAAAATGCAAAAACTAGCTATAATTTAGAATAGGGATTACACTAACCTTATTTGTATCCTAAAAATCTTAAGGCAGCAATAGTTTGGATGACTTCATTATTTATTTTCTAAGTCAGATTATTTACACAATATTGTACCATATCATATATAACATATATATAGCACAGTGTAGAAGAAAAGATATGAGGATGAACTGAAATCAAAAGACCTAGTTTTAAATTCTGACCCATCAGTGTATATAGCCTTCAAGCAAGTCATTTACATTTGGCCTCTCTGAGCCTCACTTTCAACATCTGTAAAATACAGAGAATAATTCCTTTTATTTATTGTACGAAAGGCAGGGTAGTAGAATGTAACATTTCCCAGAATGTTTGTGGTGTGTATGCTGTAATGTGTAGAATATTAACAATTATGGCAAGAGGAAACTGAGCAACTGAGTTTGCAAAACACTGGATAAAACCAAGCCAAATAGTTCTCTCTGCAGCTGAAATTTTTAACATCTTTAATATGATAATTTGTGTATAAATTTCCTTAAGCATTTTCTAAACTTACATGACCTTAAAATTACCTTTTCTTAAAGCATTTTGTAGGACTAGCGTTGTATGGAAAACACTTTGGGAAATATTGATGTAATTGAAAGACCGTAGACTCCAGAGTCAGAAAAACCTGAGTTCCAATCCTAGCTATACTCTTATCAGCTATGGGACCTTGAACAAATGATGACTCGATATCTTTGAGTCTGTTTCCTCATATGTAAGGGGGGATATTAGTATTTAGCTGACAAAGATGTTTAGTGAGGTGATCATATTAATAATGCATATATTTATATAGCATTTATAATGTGCCAAACACTATTCTCACTGTTTTACATACATTATGTAATTTAATCCTCTCACTAAGTCTAAAGTAACTACTATTTTTAGCCCCATGTTACAGATGAAGAAATTAAAGCAAAGAGAGGTTGCAAACCTAAAATTTCTAGCGCAGAGCTTCTATAATAGACACTTAAGTATCTCTCAGCTTCTGCTTCATTCACGGGGTTTTTGTTAGGATCAAAATTACATAGTATAAGTATATCTTTTTTAAGTATAAAGCAGTAAATGTATGGTATATTTATGTGGATGTGGAATAAAATATTTACATACATAATATGTTCATTAGTATGAAAATTAGTTTCAGAAGTTTTAGCATCCCAGACTCAACCAACCAAAGATTCTTGATGAGTAGAATATGTAACTAGAACTTTCCTGTAGGAGTTCTGCTCTGCTCACACGTAATCGTGTGGTTGAACATATTATTTTTTTTTTTTTTAAAAAGAACAAAAACTCTCCCTTGGATATAAATTAATGTTAAGAGAATTTTCCATCTTTCCATTAAATAATACTGCCCTAGTTAAGCATTGTATTTGCATATATTTGCAAAGCTAATTAGAAAAAGAGAATCAATTTTTGGAACCATAGTTTTTGCATTACTTATACAGAAAGGAATTTGAATCTAATTTATCATTTTATTTATATAATTTTTACTTACAAATCTCCAAATTATATTTGGCTTATGGTAATATATTAAAATTGGTTTGTATATTCTGAGTACACATTGAATGAGAGAAGTTTGAAATTAAACGAGGGGAGGATCTTTTTGAGAAAGTCATTCTTTTTTTGTTGTTCACACAAAAATGATTTCACCTCTTTAGAGAACTCAAACCAATGTAGAATCTGTAAATGGTAGAGATTTTAAATAATTCCTTAAGGACCCTAAATATTTCTATCCATTATTATGCCTTTTTTGTAGACCTCAGCTGGTGGATGCTGTCACCTCTGCTCAGACCCCAGACTCATTAGATGCTATTTTGGACTTTTTGGATTTCAAAAGTGACAGTAGCATTATCCTCCAGGAGAGGTTTCTCTATGCCTGTGGATTTGCCTCCCATCCCAATGAAGAACTCCTGAGAGCCCTCATTGTAAGTTGAATGGACACTGGGAATGTAAAGGCTCTCAGCTGCTGAAAAGCTCTTAAGAATCTAGTAATTAGAAGTTGTTCATATCAGAATGCAGGCAGAACTAGAGCATTCCCATTATTCATATTCAAATTATATTGAACTATTTTCTATCCATTAATCATTAACTCTTCAGTAAATAGTCTTTGCAATTCCTCTAAATAACATAAACTCTACTCTGTGGAAATTTAAAGATTGTGTTCACCTATCATATAATGTGATGTTGGATAAAATTTCAGAGGGAAAAGTCTTGGTTATGCTTCAAAATTTGATTTTAAAAGATTTGTTTTGACTTCAAAAATCTTCATGGTATGTAATACACAATATGTTGAAAAGATACAATTCTTTCAATATTTAAAAATTTATGTTGGAAACACAAACTAGACTTCTCTAGGGTCCAAGATATTTTCTGAGTACATTAGTCCACTTATAATTTAGTCAAATAGTTCATAATCTTTTTGGAAAGAAAATGGGCCTATTTGAGAATCTGATAAAAGCAATGAAGCCCCTTTTTACCCATCCATAAAATTTTACAGACTATTTTTTTTTTGGTTCACTGACCCAGTGAATTCAATCCATAAACCTCTAAGGGTTCTTACTTATGTTAAGAATATCTAGAAAGGGGATATTCTATTAACTGTTTATTTCAGAGTTATATAGTGAATTTGTAAGTGTCTCCAAAGCAAAATTCTGAGTTTGGAGTCTAGGAACATAACAACAATTTTCTCAGGCATTGATTATTTCTTAACTAAAAATGTCCCTTGGAAATGTTTAAATGTTTTGTTAACCTATTTTCTCCCTGTTTGGCTAATAGAGTAAGTTCAAAGGTTCCTTTGCAAGCAATGACATCAGAGAAACTGTTATGATTGTCATTGGGGCCCTCGTCAGGAAGCTGTGTCAGAATGAAGGCTGCAAACTCAAAGTAAGTGTGATCCACCCTCATGTACTATATATAGAGTTGCAGATCATCCTATTTAACACTCACCATGCTGCCTACCACTGGCACTCCTAATCCCCCTTATCCTACTCTACTTTCCCTATTTGCATAGCCATTATTGCCATCCAACATACTTTATAATTCAGTTATTTATTATATTTTTTGTTTACTTCTGTCTCCCAATAACATGTAAGCTCCATCAAGTATTGGATCTTTCTTTGTTCAACACCAATTGCTTAAAATGGTGCCTGGTATATAGATAATGTTCAATTAATATTTGGTAAAAGTGAATAGTCCATTAATCCCCCATCAACATATACTTATTGAGTGCCCATTATGTATTCAGTTTGAATGGTATGTATGGTATAGTTCTTGCTCTGAGAAAAATACTAGACTCTAGAGCTACCTCCTAGAGCAGAACTTTATCTATAGTAATTGTGGTTTTCAGTTTTGAGTTCTGATGGTAGGAATTATTTACTTCTAATTACTTAAGACTTTACATTTTATTTCTAATTTTATTTTCTCAAGGCTTCTCTACTTTTCTGAGTGGACTATCAATTTTAACATCGTTCTAACAAAACAAAAGAAAACTTCACTTTGTAAGCATTACTAAATATGAAAAATTCAAATGAGTTAATATACAACACAGCCCATCTTTCTATAATGCAAATAGATTAAAGATGTTGAATATATAAACAGTTTTTTCTGTCTACATTTATCATATAGCCAGCTTCCAGTAGCATTTTTCTTCTATTTTAAAAAGACATCACTACATTGTTGTCCTTACTGAGTGCTTGCTATTAAAAACTATAGAGAACATTCTTGAAACCAAATAGTTCCAAAAGAGGCAATTCATATGTAGAATGTGAACTAAATATAAAAAAGATTAATCGCTAAAAAAACGAAGGCATCGAAAATTTTGAGTATCAGTTTATTAAGATCTGGCAGAAATCAAATATGTATAATTTTATGATGCTCAAAAACTGACTTCTTATATTTTTCAATTTCCATGGTTATTTAAGTAGCTGGTTTATTTCAGCAATCATATATCAAATATCTTGGCTAAAGACAAAACTCACATATAAAAACATTCAGCAGTATTTGATGAGCATTTACTCTGTGCTAGGTATGATGCTAATACCTTAATATAAAGATACATAAAATATTCTACCATCCTCAATGAACTCCTAGTTTGTTTATCAAATGCAAACAGATAAATACAATAATATTAAAACATAAAAAGAGTGCTTTGAGAATACAGAATATGTAACAAATGATTCTGTTTGGGGTGCTGGGGAAGTTTTCACCAAAATGGTAATACTTGAGCTTAGTCTAGAAGAGCTTTGTAGGTGAAGAGATAGTGGTATAGAATGAAGAACAGTCTGTGAAAAGGATTAAAGTCAAAGTGTTCCTGGTATGCTTGGGAATAGTGAGAAATTCTGTGGGACTGGAGCACAAAATATATATGTTTGTGGGGCAGATAAGTGGGAGTGGAGATGTAGAAAAGGGAAGAAGAGAGGTAGACTGCATCTCTTTGAGTACAAACTAGGGAGTCTGGCCTTCAATCTATATGGAAAAGGGAGAACAGTGTGATTTTTAGGCAGGTGAATGATGTGCTCAGGTGTTTTATTTAGAAAGAAGCAAAATGGTGTATTGCCTGGGTGTTGGCTAGATTAGAGCCAGTGATATCTGATTGGAAAATCCCTTGCAACAACCTGAGAAAGAATGAGTAAAGCTGTGATTAATGTAGGAACAGTAAGGTTAGAAAAGGAGGCAGATTCAAGAGCCATTTAGGAAGTAGAGTCAATATAGTATTTTATACTGATAGGATGTGGAGAATGAGAAGGAAATAAGAATCTAGATGACTATTAAGTTTTTAGGTTAGGATAATAGATGTATGATGATGTCAACCACTTAAGCCAAGGTTATAGAACCTAGTTTGGGGGTGGGAAGAAGGTAGAGCTATTAATTTTGGGGGGCCATGTTAAACTTGAAATCCTTTGGGCTACCAGGTAGAGTTGTCCAACGGGCAGATTGCCCTACCCATCTGCAGCCCAGAGAACTGTTAACACCAAGAAAGGAGAGTGGCTGAAATTTGGGGAGAGAATAGGATTACTCAGAGGTGGCATATAGAATGAGGAGGAAACTAGCAAAGGATTAACTTTATTGTTATTTATTTATTTACTTAGTTGTTTTTATTTTTTTAATTGTTATTTTTCAATTAGAGTTGACATTCAATATTATTTTATATTATTTTCAGTTATACAGCATAATGGTTAGACATTTATGTAATATATATTTCCCCTAGTACCTGCCTGGCACTCACTACACATAGTTATTATACTGTTACTGATTATATTCCCTATGCTATACTTCACACCTCTATGACTATTTTGTAACCACCAATTTGTATTTTTAACCCCTTCGCCTTTTCCACCCAGTTCCTCAATTGCTCTCGCATCTGGCAATCACCAGTCTGCTCTTTTTATCCATGAGTTTGTTTCTGTTCTGTTTGTTATTTTGTTCTTTAGATTCCACATATAAGTGAAATCATATGGTATTTGTCTTTCTCAGTCTGACTTATTTCACTTAGCATAATACCCTCTAAGTCCATCCATGTTGTTGCAAATGGTAATATTTTATTATTTTTTTTTTATGGCTGAGTAATATAACAAAGGATTAAATTTGAAGTTCTTTTGATAATGGGGCAGCCTAGTTCTCATCATATCTTTAAAGTTTCCTTGTAGGTAGCTGTAAACTATTTACTATCTCTGTCATTCAATTTTGTTGAAGTTTTTGAGCAACCTTTTTTTAAAATGTATCTTTGAAGATAATGAGACGTGGCCACAAGGTGGACTGTAATAGGTATTCAAATTTTCTTTTTAACTTTTTGCTGTGGAATACTCATCGACCTTTTGCCCAAATCAAAGACATATGAATAGAAAGAAAATGATGTATTCTAAGTACAAATTTATGGTATCTACTGAGCACGCAATACTCACACTGCCCAAAAGGTGCCTGCCATCTTGTCATGTGCTATAAAGCTTTTCAGCATTTACTAGCATGGAAGCTACTGCCCTATGACAGTCCGAATGGCAGCTAGGCAAGTTCACAATGAGTACGAAGGCTCTGAGGTTTTTCTTACCTTTTTTTTTTTTTTTTTTGCTTGCATTTTGATTTCCCTGCATCCTAATTTCCCACCCCCAAATTTGTATTTGGAAAAATTCAAACCTACAGAAAAGTTGTAAGAGTAGTGCAATTTCACGAAACCTGATTCATCTAGATTCACCAGTTGTTAACATAATACCATATTTGCATGATCTCATTCTGTTTCATTTCACTTTATTTTCTTTTCTTGGAACCATTTGAGAGTGAGTTGTAGACATCTGACATTTACTCCTAAATACTTTTAGCTCTTACTACTTGAGTACCATTGCCTGTAGACTCTTACAATGGACAAAAATACTGCTACCTCTAATTCTGATCAAACATTGTAGGGTTCTCTCTCTGCTTCTCCCATTTCATAATTATATCTTCCTTCTGCCAACAATGAGCTGGTTTTCAAGAACTTCAATCTATCATTCATTTGCTCGATCCTAAAACACACCTAAATTAGTTTTGGAATTGCTACACCAATATCATTATAAAAAATAAAGTTTAAAACTTCATCACTGTTATTTTTGCCCATAGAGTATATTCCAATAAAGCTATACAGTCAGAGTTCTGTATTCAAAAACTACTTGGATTAATTCTTTTTCATTCTCTCCTGTTTAGTTATGTTGTAAATTTGATATACATTTATGTTCATTTGTTTCTGTTTGAATTCAGTTTTAGTAATCTTTCATCTCTGTTGATTTTAGTTTTTGAATATGTGAAACAGTAACATGGTTCAAAAGTCAAAACTCTATTTTAGAAGTATTCTCAAAGAAGTCTCATTCTCTTCCACATATTGTCACCTACCTCCTCTACATAAGCTTGGTCATTTGGTGGTTTCTATGATTTTGCTATTACAAATAAAACTGAAACTAATAATCTTACATATTTTTTTTCTTATTGTTGGAGATGTAGCTTCAGGGCTAGGGTTGCTGGATCAAAATGCAGATTTGTTAGCTTTTGCTAAATTATCTTCCATAGGAATCATACAATCTTATGGTTCCACCAACAGTGTATGAGAATACCTATTTCCCCATAACTTCAATAATAAAGCGCATTATCAAACTTTTGAATTTTCATATCAATCTGATAGTTGGCATAGATAATTGGCATAGTTAGAGAAAAAGACATTTGATTATACATGAAGTTTAGCATCTTTCCTTCTATTCGGAAGCCTTTTATATCTTCCCCAACCCTCATCCCTCCTTTCCTCCACCCCTACCCGCAACTGTGTGTGTGGGTTTGTATATGTATGCACCTGCAGCCTATTTTCAAATCCTATAGATAAATTGTATCTCAGGAATCTTTATTTTCAAGATAAAACTGAAGCCCCTAAAACATACATAGTGGCAAAGACCCGAACCTAATTGTCCTTATTTCTAATTTGTTTTTCCATTAGACTATGAACTTGTACTCAATTCTTATTTTTCTAGGCCAGGAAAAAAAGGCCTTTTCTGATTAAAAAACATATTTGAAAAGTACTTAGCAAAGTATATGCTATATAGCAAGCATTCAGTAAATATTTTCTAACTATATGGCAGCATTAATAAAATTTGAAATCAAGTGGAAACAATCACTTTTTAAACATTTATTACAACAAGACCCTATGGTCAATTTGTAAGTACTTTCACCAGAGTTATTACTTTAGAAAAGATGTATGGTACCACTTAGACATCATCTAATTGTTGCTTTAGACATTCAATGAATGGGCAGTTTTATGAATAATCAACCACAAGAGAATTTTTAAAATGACTTTATATGTTCAGAATATATTCAAAAGTAAATATATCCACTATTATACTCATTGCTTAAGAATATGTTAATGTATGTATTTTTTTAAAAAAAGAAAATTACCTTTATCAAGCTTTATTTGTTCATTTCCACTGTGTGCCTCAGTCAAGCAACCAATGCAAAACTTTATAAAACTTTCGGTTGTTTTCTCGGTCCCAGGAGTGAAGCCAATCTTGCCCAAGACTTGTTTAATGTATCGCTATGAATATGTCTGAGGTAGTATGTGATTTTTTAGGCAGTGGTAGAAGCTGAGAAGTTAATCCTGGGAGGACTTGGGAAAGCAGAGAGAAAAGAGGACATCACGATGTACCTGCTGGCTCTGAAGAATGCCCTGATTCCGGAAGGCATCCCACTCCTCTTGAAGTATGCAGAAGCAGGAGAAGGGCCCATCAGCCACCTCGCCATCACCAGTCTTCAGAGATACGATGTCTCTTTCATAACAGATGAGGTAATTTCCCCAAGAATATTTGCAAAATTCCCAAAGGAAAAAAAGCATGCCTAAACATGAGTCAAATGTAAACACCTTGGAAGTTATTCTCTCCTGCCACCTCCCCCTGCACACACACCAAACTATCAATCTCTCTTTCCTGTTTAAAAATAACTTTTGGATTGGATTTAAAGCTATTCTGAAGCAGACTCATCTTTTGAATAGAAGATATCCTATATCCTCAAGCATAAATATTAAGGCATCTTCTCTTATTTTAAGAAACAAAGTATCTTCAGAAATACCTTATTTTCCCCATAAGTTTTAAGATGCTTTTACCACTGAAATATTCTGGCTTAAGTATTAATGTGTTGGTTCCAAAAGCTACATTTTCAGGAAGCTATCTATATTAAACTTATATTATGGTAGAGAATGTTTGCAAAACTCAAGAAAAACTGCCTGCTGAGAATGTTTTCGGTTTGCAGCTAAACACCTTCCACCAATTTTGTGTCAAAGCTGGTAGGCTGCAAAACATGATGGTTAGGGACATACAGATAAACCTACATATACATCCTGGCTTTGTTCATTCCTAGCTGTTTGTGCTTCAGTGAGTCACTTAACTCCTATACATCTGAAAACAAGGCCAACATTTAGGGGAGTAGAAAAAGGCAGAGGGAGGTAGAAATGAAAGAAATATTTATAAATGCTTAGTACAGAACACCACACACAACCTATTATTAGGCAATCTTAGTAACCAATGGAATTATTTGTTGCCACAAACTGCAGTTATTTCAACAAATTTTCTTTGGCATTAATGTTTTATTTTTTAAAAATCCCCTAATGTAACCTCTGGATTTTCAGTGATAATGATGTGCCAATATAGATTCATTGGATGCAACAAATGACCACTGTGATACAGGGTGTTGATAGAGGGGGAGGTTGTGTGTGTGTTTGTCAGGATGAGGAGCAGGGGTATATAGGAACTCTCTGTATCTTCAGCTCAATTTTGCTACGAATCTAAAATTGCTCTAAAAAGAAAGTCTATTAATTTAAAAAAGGAGAAGGGAAGATTCTGAAGTACTTCATTGTAAGAGTACAGTGGTTCATATAGCCATCTCTCTTCAGAACCCCATTGCCACATGGCAGTAGTGGCTTTAAAAATCTATATTAGTGAGGTAACGCCATGATATGCTATGATAACTAACAAGTGAACCTCAAAATTTCAGCTTATCAAAAATTTATTTCTCATTCATGCTATGTCTTATATAGGTAAAGAAAAATGTGACCCTAAGTTCACTACAGTAGTGGAAGAAAGAGACAGAGAAGGCATAGCATCTCTTAACTATCTCAGCTCAGAAATTACCTGAAGTGATTCTGTTCATAAGCCGTTAGCGAGAACTTTGGCCCCAACCTAATTGCAAAGGAACCTGGGAAATGTAGGAATGCATGTGTATTTTAAGAGCACCACTATGCCTGCCACGATATCAGTTTAAAAAGTCTAGATATGCACTAAGTTTGAACGTCTTATGAACAGGTGAAGAAGACTTTAAACAGGATATACCATCAGAATCGTAAAGTTCATGAAAAAACTGTGCGCACGACTGCAGCTGCTATCATTTTAAATAACAACCCATCCTACATGGAAGTTAAAAACATCCTGCTCTCTATTGGGGAGCTTCCAAAAGAAATGAATAAGTATATGCTTGCCATTATTCAAGACATCATACGTTTTGAAATGCCTGCAAGGTATGATATAGTGCACCTTTCTCTCAGCTTATTTAAGCTTATTTGTGTATTTGTGTGGTACACATGTGGATAATAATAATGGCGTCATCATTATGCTGGGTTTTGTTGCATAGTCAGAGTTTGTCAAGTTTTTCATAAGAGAATTATTTAGTGGAATAGATGAAACAAGATCACTTTGGCACTGTGATTTGGAATTCTGGATATGGTTTTTACTCCAGGTCTCCTGTTTAGTCTGGTAAATATATATTACCAAATATTAGTCATGTTTTAAAATCCAACTACATTTTTAATACGACTATTTTTATAAATAGCACAACAAAATGATGTTAAGTTCTCACCTAATGGTCTGTTATCTTAACTTTCCAAATGTCAGTAATCTTTGAAGCCACATTTATCACAGCTCAAATGAACTTACCATTTAAGTTTAAAACCTTAGTCATGGCCCATGTTTAAGGACTAGTCAAGGTATGAAGAATGCAGACTTCATTGCTCTAAGTTACTCTCACTGGATTCATCTTCCTGGCAGTTCGCAAGTCTCTTCTGAATTCACTGATGTCCATCTTTGAAGTGGCTCTCCCAGAGCTCTCTTTACCTCCTCCCTGAAACAGAGGTCCAGAAAAGGAATTTTCATTTCCCCTGAGTTACAGGCAGAGCACTAACCCAGGAAAAATTAAATCTGAGCATTACCAATTGAAAAGGAAAACAGACATGGAGGAGGGTGGAAAATAAAGAGAAATGGGAAAAATAAAAAGACAGTAAAAGATTGAAAGAAAGAGCAACAAGGAATAAGAAAGATGAAGGAAAAAAGAAACTGGGAGAGCTAGTAGAAAAGAGAAAAGAGCAGGACAAAAGATAAAAATGGATGGAGCATGAGTGAGTGAGAAAAGAAGCAGAGTCCATCTGTAGCCATCTATTGCTAGTCAAGAATCTGACTTCTGTTTCTTTGTTTGCTCTTATAAGACTCTGTGAAGGAGATCTTGGGTGAATTTGCTGCCCTTGTCTTTGAACCTAGTGATTCAGGGGCAGTAAAGGGAAGGCAGTGGGGTAGAGAGCAGCCTAGGAAAGGCGTGGAAACCATCACAAACGCTGCAGGTCAGATTCTCAGAACGAAAACTGTTAGAATTGGAAGGGACAGTAAGGGCCATCCCACGCTCCATTGTGGGGGGTCTAGTCTCCTGGCAGGTGGTGTCCAGACTTTGCTTATATCTCTCCAGTGGCAGGAGGCTCACCTCTGAGGGAACTTGGGTCACTGTTTGGGCTCACCATTACTTCTTTGTATAACTGAAATCTTCCCATAGGTTCTGGTTTTATCCCTGGAGCAAAACAGAATAAGGCTAATCATTGATCCACATGCAGGCCCTTTGAATATTTGAGGACAGCTGTCATAGCCCTCCTCTTTTCTTCTCCAGGCTAAAATCTTATAACATAGTGATACTAGGTGGGGAAAAACTGTAAGATAACCATTCCCTCCTCTCGATAATTTTCTACTTCAGACCTAAGTCTGGATTTCTTTGGTTGATTTAAAAAATGTTTTTGCTGCACTAGTATAATTTTATAATTACTGGTATGATTAGTGTTAAGTAGGAATGGAAAGATCTCAACACTGATTAGATAGGAAGACAAGCTAGAGGCATGGGTTAAAGTTCAAGATTTACTTTAGAGGACATGGTTTACATATGGGTGTAATTGAGATGTTTCTTTAATTGAAAACTGCATAAACATAGAAGAAATTTCTGGAAATCTACTGTCATGTATCATTAGCCAGCGATAACATTAGAGGTTGTAGGAAAATGTTTAAAGAAATATTGGCAACTTCCCCTGCTTGGTACAGCTTTTCTTAAAAGTATATCCTATTTAAGAGTAGAACCATGATGATTCGAAGAACATATGTTTTCTACTCCTGAGGTGTTTCCATCAGCCAACTTATGCCGTCTCACAGCTGGGCATCCTCACCTCGCTGTCATTTTGATACCAAACTAAATTTCAAATATCTGTGGAATGAAGGGGGATGCCCTAATCCTGATGTTGGCACTCCAGCTGACACCTCCCTAGTCTTGGGGTAGCATGAGGAAAATTGGGCTTCCTCTTTTCTTCCACTGAGGATTTGGGTGTTTTGTTTTGTTTTGTTTTGTTTTCTCCAAATCTAACTTGGGAAACAACAGTCACAATGAATGTGCAGCTTTTTCCTTTTACATGTTTCAGCAAAATGGTCCGTCGAGTTCTGAAGGAAATGGTTGCTCATAATTATGACCGTTTCGCCAAGACTGGATCCTCTTCTGCCTATACTGGCTACATAGAACGTATGTAACTCAAAAACGGGTTCCCCTCCGGGCCCCTCCCCGGTGTGGTATTGCGGAAACATTATTAAATTACAGGGTTGTTTTGTGTGTGTGTGTGTGTGTCATTAGGTAGTCCCCATTCGGCATCTACTTACAGCCTTGACATTCTTTACTCTGGTTCTGGCATTCTAAGGAGAAGCAACCTGAACATCTTTCAGTACATTGGGAACGCTCATGTTCATGGTAGCCAGGTAATTCATTTTCTATTAATTTTTCTGAATAAAGTATATAAGAAATTAGTCCAAGGTAAAATAAAATATATAGTGATGGTAACACTATAGAATGTGTAAGTTAACAGTGGCTTCTGTCATACGTCACCCATGATTCCATCACCTGCAAGAGGCTATATGGTTTAGTCACAGAGACAGTTCCAAATATGAACTTGAAACCTAATTAATTTGATTCATTGGACTTGCCAAACATCCATCAGTCTTTTCAAAGATATACATATTCAAAAAATTGAAATCTTGTCAGTATTTCTCACATATTTTAAAAAATATTTTATTTTTATTCTCAGAGCTCCAGATATTTAATTCTGGAATCTATTTCCCTTCTCTTGGTGTTTCTATGAAGAGATTGAGTCCCCATAATAAAAACTTTCATAATAGAATATGGCTCTCTAAAGAGTCAATCTATGTTTTTCCAGTACTGCTAGGAGAGAAAAGAATAAAGTGCAGGCATTTGACAGCTGGCTGACTTTCATTCCTTTCATTTTATCTAAAATTTGTGACACTCTTTAAAGGCTTCCTAATTTGAAATATGCTTTCTTTTTAGGTTTTATGTATATCAAATTATAACCTTCTAAATAAACTCATTTAAGCTTTAAAAATTATCCAGTGCTACATAAACTTTAGTTTCTATCAATATTATATTTACTACACCCTTTGATAGGACTCTAGTCAGAATATCATGCCCTTCTCTCCTGAGGAATCACCATCTGTTTTCTGATATGCACTCTGAAATGCCACACGCCCAGTGGTTAAGAGGCTGGGTATAGAGGACAAAGCATATGTAGGATTCCTATGTATAGTAGAAAGTAGGCTGAGAGTCACCTCATGGTGTTGATCGTCTTTTCAGGGAAAGGTGTGAGTCATGGCTTAGAGAGTTCTACACCTTCTCATAGCAGCAGCCTTAGTGTGACTTTCCCTGAACCTCTCCATCTCCTTTTAGAGGTTCTACCCAATAACTGATGCATTATGTATGACAACCTGGAGAGACTCAGAGTCTCTAGGATGATACCATGAAATGGAAAGTTCATGGCCTTTGTATTTAGACAGAGAGATTTGAATCCTGCCTCTGCCATTTGAGCTTT